TTATTTATTTATTTATTTATTTATTTATTTATTTGAGTTGGTCTCACATTGTACCCTAAGCTAGCCTGATACTCTCCTGTGTAGCCCAGGCTTGTGTTCAGTTCTCCTGCCTCAGCTTCCACAGAGCTGGGGGTTCATAGTCAGCAGCACACACAACTTAAAGTTTTCTTTCTTGTCCTGTTATATTATTATTATCATTATTATTTTGCTAAGAGTGCTGATGGTTCTCAGATGTTTTAAAAGTAACTTCTATTATTTGCCTATCAGAGCGTTTCCACTCTGCTGATGTAGTTCCCCTGGCCAGATGGACATGACATCATTGTATAACTTTCAGCCAAGTTAAAGGATAAGAAAAAAAAAACACCTAAATATCCACCTACATAAATAACGCTTAAGTCTTTGGAGAGCTAGCTTCCACATCTGTATTTTAGCGGGATGTTGCTTTTAAGAGACTTTGTGTTCTTTCAGGCTCACCCATTCTCTTGGGAAAATTCAATAATTTTGTAGGGGAAAAAGAGGAGGGATGAAACTGTAAAAAAAAAAAAAAAGCTTCATTTTGTTAACCTTTCCCTTACTTCAATTTTTCACAGCTGGCTGTTTTGACAATGGGAAACACTATCAGATAAACCAGCAGTGGGAACGCACCTACCTGGGCAACGCCTTGGTTTGTACCTGCTATGGAGGAAGCCGAGGTTTTAACTGCGAGAGTAAACCGGAAGGTAAGTGGAAGGTAGTCTGGTCACTGGCAGAAATGATGCTCACTTATTAAAATTAGCTTTCAATAAAAACACTCCCGACCCCAGAGGATTGCCAGCAGTTCCCTCTTAGTAAAACCACTGATACTGGCTTTTCACATGCTCGCTCCCCTTACCTCGAAAACAAATGTATTCCAAACTGGTTTCCAAAGCCTTCCTTTTATTCTCCCAAGGAGTTTGATTAGAAAAATGAAAGGTTTTTGCCCTTCTTCCTTCAGAAAGAAAACTTATAAAAGCTTAATTTACTAGAAAGTTATCTCAGATCTTTGGCTCTCAGATTATGGGCCAAAAATTACTTTGAAGCACTTGTGTGTAAAGTAATTTGTTCACTGCAGTTCAGTGAGAAACCACCACTCCTGAGCCTTTGAAGCCCCTTGATATGTTTCTCGTGAATCACCTCAGTTCCTTCAGAGAAGCTGCTTGGCTCCAGGGGAAACATTTCGGTCTGGCTGACACAAAGGCCATCGCCTGCTGAGAGGGAGGCAACCTTCAAACTCCCACGTGGCCATGAATTGATTTCCCCAGTTTGAGGTTGGAATTTGAAATCTGTCCCTTGCAGCTCAGTTGGACCTAGGGTGTGGCATCTTCCTGAGAATTTACATTGTAAATAGAGGACAAATTGCAGAGCTTTCCAAGAACTACGGTTTCATTAAAGCGGAACTTGACGTTTTCAGGTCTCCTTTCTGTTGCACATAGCCATGCTGATTGTAAATCGGAAGAGGGATGTCTTCCTTCAGATGGATGGGAGAGGGTAGAGGAGCTTGTGTGTGTGTGAGAGGCTCACATGGGCTTCTTCTTCTCCACAGCTGAAGAGACTTGCTTTGACAAATACACCGGGAACACTTATAAAGTGGGTGACACTTACGAGCGCCCTAAAGATTCCATGATCTGGGACTGTACCTGCATCGGGGCTGGGCGAGGAAGAATCAGCTGTACCATTGCAAGTAAGAAAGGCATTCTGTAACGTGCTGCAGGTCCCATCAATGTGTATTTCTCCGTCCTGCCCCTGCCATTTTCTGTTGCCCAGTAGTGAATAGTTCTTACTTTGGGATTTACCCCAATGACCATATCCATGTGGTTGCCCACCTAGTTCTTGCACCTAAGTAGAGGAAGATGGATCTAAGGAGAGGTGTAATCTCTCTCTCTCTCTCTCTCTCTCTCTCTCTCTCTCTCTCTCTCTCTCTCTCTCTCTC